GGCCCGAAGCCCTGCATACTAGACAGGTGGCTGCAAGAGGCACATAAAAGGCCCTACACCCTAAGCCTTAAACCCTACACCCTGAACCCTAAACCCTAAACCCCAAACCCTTTCTGAGCCCAAAGGTTTAGGGGGTTTAGGGTCTAATTTCGGGAGCCTGCCAAGAGGAGCTGGGGTGGGCAACACAACGACAAACCTGGACTTCAAAACCCTAACCCCTAAACCCCAAACCCCAAACCCTAAACCCCAAAAGGATTTGCCCACAGAGCCGATTGATCTTTTACGGCATATTAGGGTTCCTATCTTGCGTGGGGGGGCGGGGGCCTTAAGAGCGAGACTACGTAGGGGAGTCTGACTTAGGGTTGAGGATTTGGTTCCTGCAATAAGGACTTTTGGAGACAATATTTGCGTCCGGATCCTCGAGGGGAAACCCTTAACCCTGAACCTAAACTCTCAGCCCAACCCTAACCTTAAAACCACCATGAACCAAAGGGAGAGGAAAACCTTAAACCCTCAACCCTCAACCCTAAAGCCTGTAACCCTAAACCCTAAACCCGAAGCCCTCAACCCACCACAAACCACAGAGCGGGATGGATGGCGTTGGAGGAGGGCGGCATACAAACGGTACCACCCCAAACTTCGGAGATCAATCCTCAACCCTCAACCCTCAACCCTCAACCCTCAACCCTCAACCCTCAACCGTAAACCCTGAACCCGAACCCTAAACCCTAAACACTAAACGCCCATACCCGAAAGCCAAGCACGTTCCTTAATTGAGGGGAAGCTTTCTGGGTGTCCGAAGGCCTGGCTACGCGAGAGGTGGCCGTGTGATGACTGCGCCCACGGCTGCCCTGGAGACTGCGCGCTCTAATTAGGGTTTTAGGGTTTAGGGTTTAGGGTTTAGGGTTTAGGGCTTCCAGGGCTTAGAGTTTCGGAATTCTAGGGGTTGGGTGGCCTACGTCTTCGGATCTCCAGAGTTTCGGGCTTGGGTTTTTCAAGGGTCTAGGGTTTAGGGTTTAGGGTTTAGGGTTTGGGGTTTAGGATTCAGGGCTCAGAGTTTAGGATTTGGAGAGGCTTGGTGGTTTGGGTTTTGTGGTTTCGGAGCCCTAAACCCTAAATCCTAAAACCCTAAACCCTAAAACCCTGCCCCTGAACCTTTCCGACTTGGCTTCTGTTCCGGAAAAGTCGGGGTTATGGTGCAAGTTCAGGAGCTTGGCAGGCTGCTGCAGCCAGGATTTAGGGTTGGTTTTTTAATTAAAGAATGTAATTTTTTTGGCCCCCAGGGCTTGGGGTTTAGGGTTTAGGGTTTAAGGTTGAGGGTTGAGGGTTGAGGGTTGAGGGTTTAGGGTAGCTTGCGCTCCATGAACAGAGGGCAACAAAGTGCTACCCCATGGGGGGCGGGCATGTGGGCCTTAGCCTTAAGCCCTCGGACAGTCTCCGATTTGGGGCCTGGGCCTGGGAAGCTGCACATGCGGCTCACAAGCGGAAAGATGGTCGTCTTTTGCTACTGGAACGAGCCTTTCGAAACATGGATATCATCAAGAGCTTCTATCCTGGACCCCGGGCTATTCGGAGGTGTAGGTTTAGGTGTTTAGAGGTTTGGGTAGGGGAGGTTTTAGGATTTAAGGGATTATATAACCCAAACCCCAGACACTACATTCAGGAACCAAGGCACCGTGTGCCCAGGCGCCGCTGTCCAGGTCAAGTTCTGCCGAGCATTGCTGAGCATTTGGGTTTAGGGTTTAGGGTTTAGGGTTTACGGTTTAGGGTTTAGGGTTTAGGGTTTGGGGTTTGGGGTTTGGGGTTTAGGGTTTAGGGTTTGGGGTTTGGGGTTTAGGTAGTAGGGTATAGGCTGTAGGGTGCAGGGCTTATGGAGCGAGGCGGTATCTCGCCCCATGTTCTTCTCGCGTTTTCGGTGGTTCTAAGTGACAGTGTTTTAGGTGACAGTGGGGGTTCGAGGCGGGGGGGGGGGGGGGGGGGGGGAAGGGTTAGGTTTTAGGGTTTAGGGTTTAGGGTTCAGGGTTTTGGGTTTTGGGGCTCCGTCACCCTCACAAGAATTTAGCACACTTTCTGCGATGCCGAAGCATCCAACTTTACAGCCCTGGAGCAGCCAATAGAACAGTGTGCCCCCAGTAAGGCCACTGTATATGTATATATATATATACATATATATATATATATGTATTTCAAACATATGCATATGCATATGCATATACATATACATATACATATAAATAGTAAATAGTACATATATATTTAGAGAGAGAGAGAGAGATACAAATATATTCATATTTACATATATATATATATATAATCCGCCGACCCCTGCTTTAGCGGGGGAGGCGTCAGTGAAGACCCATTTGCCCTCATGCCCAAACCCCCCCGCCCTCACCCCCTCGACCTCACCCTCACCCTCTAGGGGCTCCAGCGCATGCCCCCCCACCTCCCCCCTCACCTTACACTTGGAAATGAAGTGTTTTAGGGGCTCCAGTGCATGCCGGACCCCCCCCGCCCCCCCCCCCCCCCCCACCCCGCCCCCCCAACCCCTTCGCCTCTGCCAACCTGGCCCCCACCCCCCCCCCCCACCCCCCCTCACCCCTTACCCCCCACCTCACCCCTACCCCTGACCTTTTACTTGGAAATGAAGTGTGTCAGGGGTTTAGGGCATGCCCGGACCCCTTCACCCCTACCCCTTGCTTTTACTTGGAAATGAAGTGTTTGAGGGGCTCCAGTGCATGCCCGGACCCCCCCCCCGCCCCCCGCCCCCCCCACCCCGCCCACTGCCCTCACAAGGGGTCCGGGCATGCCCTAAACCCCTGACACACTTCATTTTCAAGTAAAAGGTCAGGGGGAGGGGTGAGTGGGGGGGGCAAGGTTGGGGGCAGAGGCGAAGGGGTGAGGGCAGTGGGCGCGGTGGGCGGGGGGGGGCGGGGGGGGTGCGGGCATGCACTGGAGCCCCTCAAACACTTCATTTCCAAGTAAAAGGCAAGGGGTCCGGGCATGCCCTAAACCCTGACACACTTCATTTCCAAGTAAAAGGTCAGGGGTAGGGGTGAGGTGGGGGGTAAGGGGTGGGGCAGAGGCGAAGGGGCCTTTTGCTTGGAAATGAAGTGTTTGTCCAGTGCATGCCCGGACCCCCCCCCCCCCCCCCCCCCCCCCCCCCCCCCCCCCCCCCCCCCTCCACTGCCCGCACCCCTTCGCCTCGCCCCAACCTTGCCCCCCCCCCACTCACCCCAACCCTGACCTTTTACTTGAAGCATTGTGTCTGCCTTAGGTGCATGCCCCTACCCCTTGCCTTTTACTTGGAAATGAAGTGTTTGAGGGGCTCCAGTGCATGCCCGCACCCCCCCCCGCCCCCCCCGCCCCCCGCCCACCCCGCCCACGCCGGTGGGTGGCTTAAATAGGGTCTATTTGGAAGCTGGGACTCGGGTTTTCTTATAGCCATACACGTTTCCACGAGGGTACGCTGCTGTCACGTCAGTCGTACTATCAGGAACAAGAACCCCTTCGCCTCTCCCCCCAAACTTTGCCCCCCCCCACTCACCCCTACCCCTGACCTTTTACTTGGAAATGAAGTGTGTCAGGGGTTTAGGGCATGCCCGGACCCTTGCCTTGAACTTGGAAATGAAGTGTTTGAGGGGCTCCAGCGCATGCCCGGACCCCCCCCGCCCCCCCCGCCCCCCCCCGCCCACCCCGCCCACTGCCCTCACCCCTTCGCCTCTGCCCCCAACCTTGCCCCCCCCGCTCACCCCTACCCCTGACCTTTTACTTGGAAATGAAGTGTGTCAGGGGTTTTTCGGGCATGCCCGGACCCCTTGCCTTTTACTTGGGTCTGCAGTGTTTGAGGGGCTCCAGTGCATGCCCGGACCCCCCCCGCCCCCCCCCCCCCCCCCCCCCCACCCCTGCCCACCCCCCCACCCGCCCACTGCCCTCACCCCGTCGCCTCTGCCCCCAACCTTGCCCCCCCCGCTCACCCTACCCCTGACTTTTACTTGGAAATGACAGGGTTTTAGGGCATCCGACCCCTGCCTTTTACTTGGAAATGAAGTGTTGGGGGGTTTAGGCAGGCCCATTTCCAAGTAAAAGGCAAGGGGTCCAAACCCCTGACACACTTCATTTCCAAGTAAAAGGTCAGGGGTAGGGGTGAGGTGGGGGGTAAGGGGTGAGGGCGGGGGGGGTTAGGGGGCAGAGGCCAAGGTTGCAAACAGGGGGTCGGAAAGGGCATGCACTGGCTCCAGTGCCCCGGACCCCCCCCGCCCCCCCCCCCCCCCCCCCCGCCCCCCGCCCCGCCCCACCTTCACCCCTTCACCTCTCCCCCCCCCACCCCCCCGCCATCACCGCTTACCCCCCACCTCACCCCGGTTCGGCTCTCCTGGTTAAGGGGGTTGAGGGTTTAGTAGTTTGGGGTTTAAGGGTTCAGGGTTTCGAGTTTAAGGTGTGAGGTTTAGGGTTTAAGGTTGCGCGCCAACTCCCTGCGCGTGAACTCAATGTTTCGCCCCCCCTGAACTCTAGAACCTATGGATATATGTAAGCGCAATGTAGGGGGTGTTTGTGTAAACCCTAGGGCCTCCTGTCGGGGTCGGCGGCATTGGCGGTAGCCATTAAATCGGGCAGCGCGAGGTCCCCAAAGGACCGAGCAAATGCGGACCTTTTAGCCCGGGTCGTCCCGGGAATAGCCTTGCTGGCCTCTGGCCTTCTGCGAAGCAGAATTAGGCCGGACGCCAGTGCCGCCGACCCCCGCGTGCCGCCGGTGAACGGTCTTTTTTTCGTGGTTTTTTGCGTCGCCACGGAGGCCCCCAGAGGGCGCGCATCATGAGCATCAGCGGGTCCAGCCCGGGACCCCCAGGCGCGCATCAGGAGCATCAGTGGCTCCCGGGGCGGGACCCCGGGGGCGCATCAGGAGCATGATGCCCCCCAAAGGGCGGGCATAAGCGACGTGTCTAAGCCCGGGGCTAGGAAAAAGGGAGTTTAGGGGCCTTATAAAGTACTTAGAAACGTTAAGGGAGTCTAGGAGCCTCAAACGCTTAGAGATTTGAAGGGAGTTTAGGGGCCTGAAAATGCTTAGAAACTTAACGCTTGGAGATTTTAAGGGAGTTTAGGGGCCTCAACATGCTTAGAAACTGCTCGCCCCGGGCTTCTGAGTGCGCTGCCCGCCCATGGGCGCAGCCCCTTAAAATATATGATATTGTGAAGTCGACCAACCCGGTCTTGCACTAAGCAAATGCAAACACGAGCGGCCACGCTGCTTTTGACTTCGCGGGAACACCAGCTCAGAAGGTGCCCTACAGCCAAGCGTCCGGTCGGACCGCTCCGCAACCTTAAAGCTACAGAACGAAACTACCGAGCACAAAGCTACAAGCCTACTCGCATACTTGAGCCAAAATATTGGCATTGATACGAATTGCAATACTATACATGCAAAGGAAAACTACAAGGTGGTCTGCCGAGTCCTAATGCATCACAGAGCAGAAGATGCATATGCACTCATGTCAGCTCACATTCGCCCCTCAGCCGAGGCTCCGGTGAGTGACTTCAACAGGGAGGGTGGGCGTCCGTCGCGGCTTTGGGCGCAAGCCCGCAAACGAAGACAGGCGAAACGAGACGACCCAAACGAGCAACCCTCCTAAACCAGCCTAAACCAGGCCCACCAGCTGCACCAGCTGCGCCGCGTGGGCCGCAGACTTGCCATTGCGCAGGTGGGCAATTCTGTTGGCCACTGCCCTGCTCAGGAACCACAGGGCAGCCGCGCCGACGATCATCGCCATCAGGGCGACCGTCGTCCCGGCAACCCATGCGGTCCGCCTGGCACCCTGTCCGAGCTTCTCGAGGACCTCTGCAGACGCTGTTGCGACGGCCTGCATGCTCTCCTCGACTACGTCCAGGGTGCCCCGATGGACCCGGAGCACAGCCGGCGCCGCCGCAGCGGCCGCCAGACCCCAGCACCCGCTGATGTTGCCCGTCAAGGTGTGCATCAGCCTATTAATTAAAGGCTCTGGGCGCAGCAGGCAGGGCCTCGCGGAGGCAGCAAAAGGCTTGGAGGAGGTGGTGCGGAGCGCACGGTAGCGACGGGGGACCACGCTGGGCTGGACCTGGGCTGAGCGCGGCAACGATGCCCGCGGCAAAGGCTCCCCAAGCGTACTTGCCTTTGCCTTTGGGCTTTCCTTTGCCCTTGCCCTTGCCCTTGGGCTTTCCTTTGCCCTTGTCGCGGGCTTCGGCCCAGTCACTCCACGCATCGCGACCCTTCCCGTAGGTCGCCTCCTCTCGGCGGCGTTTACCGCCCCGCCGCTTGTGTTTGCTCCTGAGCATCGGCTGCAGCGTCTCTGCATCCATCGCTTGATTAGCGACATCTATCTCATAGTCCAGAGTCTCCTGACTCGTGTCGGAGATGTCGTCTCTCGGACCCTCTGCCCTCCGCGGATCAGGGATCCCGCGAGAGACGACTTCGGCGAGCCTAAGTGGCGTGCTGCAGCGGAAGCAGAGCTGGCGGAAAGAGAGATTCCGCTTGAGGCAATTGGGGCATTGCCAGCCCGCAATGCGAAGCGCCGAGTTGATGGCCTCGTCTCGGCTGGCCTTCTCCTCAAGCCTCTGCTCTTTCCGCGCGGCCTTTTCAGCGGCCCGCGCATCTTCGATTGCTTGGAGGTGCTCAGCAAGCTCCTCGTCCGAAAGCAATCTAGCGGCGTCCGCCCGCTCCCGCTGCGCCAGCAATTC